TTGGGTCCCCTTCTTCCTCCGGGAGAAGTCTTTTCTTCTGTCCTTTAATAAATTTCTAATCTCTACTCTGGCCTTGCCTCGGCGTGCTTCTTTGGTGTTATTCTTCAACATCAGGGAGCAAGAACTCGTCACCGGTCAACAGCGGTAACACTCCCGTCCTGACTCCCCAGACCTCCCAGCCCTGGAGGCCCCCTGCCGCATGCTGCCAGCACAAGCCCCACCAGACTGGCAAGGGACACTTACGCTCCATATATCTGCCGTGGCACCATGGGGCCACCTGGTGCTCTCCTGGCCTCTGGCTTCTCTGGAACTTTCCTCTGAGGGGGGTTACTGATGGCCACTTTGATGACATTCTCTTTGACTGTCATGCCGTCCATCTTCATCACAGCCTGCGAAGCCTGGGACTCATTTTCAWATTCCACGTAGGCCAGACCCTGGGGGGAAGAGACCAGGGCTGTCAGGCGCACAGACCCAGGACGCAACGTCCTCCCAGGGCCAGGGAGCCTGGCGTCCTCGGGAAAGCAGCAGACAGCCCATCAGCTGGTCCCCTCCCCACTGCTGACACCCACTGTCCACAGTTCACTCCAGGCCCCACTYGGCTTCACTACGACCCTCCTGATTTTCACACCAGAAAAACCTTTCTGGGATCGGCACACCCTGGGCTTGCTCAGAAGAAAAAGAGATGGGCGAAACCCCGAGGAGGAGAATCAGAGGGCGCGGGGGTCCTCTTCAGTGCCCTCAGTGTCTTCAGTTCTCAACCTGACTGGGGGTGAGGTTTGAAAAGAAATCCAAAATCATGCTTAAAAACACGACTTGAGAGGCTGGGATTGTGGCTCAGCACGTGCGAGGCTCTGGGTTCGATCCTCAGCACCACATAAAAATAAACAGACAAAATAAAGGTATTATGTCCAACCACACCAAAAAAATATATTTAAAAAAAAAAAAACACTACTTGAAATGTGGTGCAAAAGGGCCAAGGGCAGAGGCACACGCCTGAGGCCCTAGCCACTTGAAAGGCTGAGGCAGGAGGATCACTCAAGCACAATAATTGGAGACCAGCCTAGATGACACACCAAGACCCCGACTCAAAGAAACACACCCGTGGGCTGGGCTGGGGCTCAGAGGGAGAGCACTTGCCTAGCACAGGTGAGGCACTGGGTTCCATCCTCAGCACCACATAAAAATAAATTTAAAAATAAAGGTATTATGTGAAAAAACACATGTATCATTAAAAAAAAAATACGCACATATACACACATATGCCTGTATATACATGTAGGTGTGCATACACACACGCACATGGTGCAAGAGAAATTAACAGGATGTGGAGGGACAGGAGGGAGGGGGGAAGAGCAGACCAGTGGAGGGACTACGGGCACTGGCTGGAGGCCCGGGAAGGAGAAGAGTGTGGGGGGGTGACACTGCAGCCAGGGGCCACACTGTGGCTTCTACGAAAGCTAAAACTTACTTTCCAAATGCCTTTTTCATTTTTGGTACATTTGTTACTTAAAGTTAGTCCAATCCACATGGAAGTGCAGCCAAGCGAGCTCCTCCTCCCACCATATCCCCACCCTGTCTTAGGAGACAAGCCAGGAGCCCCTCAGCTCAGAAGGCTAGGCGCCATCTGCGCCAACACAGACCTTTGGTTTGCCAGCCCGGTTGGTGACCAGCCTGAGGTCCTTCACAGTGCCATGGGCCTTACAGATGTCCTCCAGTTCCTCTTTAGTGCAGGAGAAGGGCAGGCCGGAGATGAAGAGCTTGTGTTTCTCCAGGGCAGTGCTGTACCGGAACACCTGGGGGAGGGCGGGAAGGGAGGACACCCGTCAGGCCAGGCAGCGCGACTTGGTCACCGGGGGCACGCCCCGCCAGGCAGCCCAGAGCCGGACCTGGGATTRGAACCTAGTAACCGAGTCGCCTGGCAAGTCACTTCAGGCCTCAATTTTTCCTCCAAAAAATGGCAAGAATAAGAGCAGCCATTTGCAGAGGACGGGTGAGCAGCCACAGCAGCACAGTCTCCTGCCACTCAGCACCCATCGTCACCACCACCTAGTCAGCTGGTCCAGCTCAGGACACCGGGCCCTGCGTCGGTGCCCACATAGACCAGCTCCCTGCGGGGCGGCGGGTGGAACCCGAGCACGGGGGAGCATGCGGAGCGCAACCCTCCATAGCAGACCTTAAAATCGGGGTTCTTGCTCTTATCCACACAGGGGGACACGAACATCGGCCTCCCTTCCATGTTCTTCCGATCCAGCTCCAGGGCCTTCCGGGCAGACTGCTCTTCTTTGAACTCCACGTAGCAGTAGCCTCGAAAGTCCCCGCGGTTGCTGAACACGGGCCGGATCTCCACCACCTCCCCGCAGGCCTCGAAGAGAGGCCGGAGCTTGGCAGCGGGCTCCCCCATGCTGTAGGGCAGGTTGCTGACAAAGACGGTGACGCTGTCCTTGCTGCTGTCGTGCAGCACCTTGGGCACCTCCCGCCTCAGGGCAGCGGCCTTCTCCTTCTGCTTGGAGGGGGGGCCGACGTCCACAGGGGCAGGCTTCTCGGGGAGCCCCTTCTCCTGGCCCGCGTCTGGCTCTGGCCCGGCTGAGGCCACGCTGTTCTCCACCCTCCTTCGCTTGGAAGGCTGCYCTGCAGGTGGCAAAAGACAAGCGGCGATGGTTGGCTGTCCATCGGCTGCCCGCCTTCAGCACGCAGCTCGGGGACCCCTCTCCCGCCACAGACWGGAGTCTGCAGCAGACACCAGGGTGGCAGGCCCCAGCCCCTGGAGGTCTTCCATGACCCTGCTGACCTGCCCTGCAATTTTCTGAGCCCCCATTACAATGCAGTGCATGGGCCACATCATGGGGAAGTAATGACAAATCCCCACCTACACTCTTAATTGCAGGGGTGGTCAGAGGCCCGCCTCGGGTCAGCAGGGTCCCTCTACCCTCCCACAGAGCCCGGGCAGCACAAGGGCAGACCTAAAAGCCACACAGAAACCACACCCGGTAAAGGACGTGCAGGTGCCACAGAGACACCTGGAAAGCACAGCCTCGGGCCTTCTTCCCACGACACTCTAGGCGCTGCCTCRTGTCCTGCAACAGACCCTCCCCACGGCCCTGCAGAGGGCCAACAGGCCTCGTCTCCACGCAGCCCTCCCATCGGTCCCCCTGCTGCTCCCTGAAGGCACCTGGGCCCTGGAGCTGCATTCAACAGCTCCCCCAGCTGCATGGCTGGCCTGTCCCCACCACTGCCTCGGCCCCTCTGCCAGCATCTGGGATCACACCCAATCCTGCGCTCTCAGAGCAGAGCTGTCCATGCAGCCATGTTCCCTCGCAGCTCTCTGCCCGGGGCTCCTCCTCCCTGTCCTGGCCCAGAAGCTGCATCCCTTCTCCCACAAAGCCTCCTGGCAGGGAACTGAGCCTGGCGCCTCTGGCCTCCACCTGGATCTCAACCTCCCCACAGTCCTGACTGCTCCCAAGTCCATCCACCTTACCCTGTAACTTGGGGGCTCTGAGGGCAGTGGCCACAGTCAGTCACTTCTGAAGGCCCAAATAGGTGTGCAAGAAACGCCAACGGAATGGAGGCTACGTCTGCACCTCCCTCTGTGGCCACAGCTACGCTAGGGAAACACTCAGAGGCCCTAATGTCCCAAGACGATTCTTCACTGTGACAGGACTGCCCTGGATCAATTCAGACCTCACCTGCCAGGAAAGACCAGCTGGGCGCCCGGCCTCAACACCACCAGGGGCTGGGCCAGGAGGCGCCTGTGGGGCACAGCGGCTGGTGCTGGCACTGGAGCCCAGTGGGAGGGGGACTTAGGTACATGGGTTGGTGACAGGGGCACAGCTTGGGATAAAGCAGTCAGGATGGGAGGGAGAGGAAGACACCCAGGCAGGAGGGCCCTGGGCATGGCCTGACAGGACATGAAGCCCAAGTGCTGGGCACACCGGCTGTGGAGGGCAGCACCCAGAGCGGGCACGGGAGGCCCAGAGGCGAGGGGAGCAGCAGGCCAGGAGCCGGGCACACAGCCAGGGGACAGACAGCGCAGGTGAGCATGCTGAGGGTGACAGGAGCAGGTTTCTCAGGTGAGAGAAGGGCACGGTGAGCACTAGACGGCAGAGAACCGGAAGGAACCCTGTGGTGTGGACTCGGGGTTCCCAGGACCCGCGTTACACAAGTTCCACGCAAACAGGTGTCCCCAGCACGAGCACTCAGAGGTCTGGGAGCACAATCCCCAACAGCAGTGAGGACATCTGGCACCTGCCAAGTGCCACGCAGTGTCCCTGGAGAACAGGGACCCTAGGCTGGGCCACAAGGGGAAGCACTGCCTGAAAGGACACAAGGGGTGAGACCGMAAGAGCAGGTCCAAGGACACGGAGGCCCGCTCGCAGGAGCTCCTGGAGCCAAACTGGGACAAGAGCTTCAACATAAATGACCACACTAACAGACTGTAACCAAGGAAACCGGGGTCCATGATCCCTGTGACACGGAGGAGGACTCAGAAGTGAAGAGAACCGGATCTTATCTCCTCTCAATAAGGCAGAGGCCCGTCAGAAGAAAAGAGCAAGCCAGCAGGCGCCACCTCAGTCACATCACCAAGGTGACCCAAATCACATGCCACCGGAAGGGATTCGATGGGAAGGTGCTATTCCTGCCGAAGAGGCGTGACCTGACTGGGCATGAGGGCCATCAGGAAACCCACACGGAGGAACCTTCTCCAAGTAACTGGCCTGACTTCAAGTGTCCTGGTCAAGAGAGCCAAAGGGACATTGCAGACTGGAGGAGCCTCGAGACACGGGACAGCTCAACACAAAACTAGATCCTCCTATTGAAAGGACACCAGCAGCACCAAAGGCAGGCACTGGGGGGTCTGAGGATCCACAGGCAGGAATGGAGGTGAGCTGCTCCTGGCTCTTGGTTTGGGGGGTTGGAGTACCAGGGACTGAGCCCAGGGGTGCTTAACCACTAAGCCACACCTCAGCTCTTTTTGCTTTCTATTCAAAATCTGTGCCCCCTGCCTCGGCCTCCCCAGTCGCTGGGATTACAGGCGGGCAGCACCATGCCCAGCTGGGCCCCGATGGCGGCCAGGTTTGCGGGACACGCTCTGAGAAGCCCACAGGCGGTGGGCAGCGTGCGGACACATGGCCTCAAGTGGGCTGGGGAGAAAGTCTTTGTACCCTTTTTGCGAATTCTCTGGAGGTTTGGGGGTGTCAAGGTAAAGCCTCTGAGCAGCCCTCTACCTTCGCCGTCCTCGCCCCACTCCTTGCCCTCCTCGGCCTTGCGCTTGTCCCCGCCGCCGCCCGGCTGCTGCTTCTTTCTCAAGGCTTTCTTCTCCGCTCGCACCCTCTTGCGCTGCTCCGCCTTCTCCTCTTCCTGCTGCGCCAGGGCCGCCTCCTTCTCTGCAGCCTGGAAGGGAAGGGGCAATGTTGTCTATGTTAAACGTAATGGACATTATTTTTAAAGAATATTTAAGAACCTATTTCTTGGCTGGGGATACAGCTCAGTTGGTAGAGCACTTGCCCTGCCTCGGCTTGTGAGAGGAGGGGACAGGGAAGGGGAAGGGCAGACAGGTAGGCAGGCGCTGCCAGCAGCCCCACCCCRGCACCCAAGGCCCGCAGGGTCTGGACCTCAAACCCATGCTCACAACGCCCTCAGCCTGTCCCCAAGAGGAAAGAGAAATTGGTCCACAGGACCAGGGTCCCTAGCAAGGCCGACAGAGGCTCCTTCTCATTCTTTCCCATCTATCCCCATGAGTTTGGGGGCCAAAATTCCCCCAGTACATTGTTAAAGCCAAAGTGTTCAGTGAATGTAAAAAGATAYAGCTGAAACACTGATTCAGTATTTTATACCTCACAGGCCTATGGCTCACGTGCATCTCTTATGAAGGCCTAAAGGTTTTGAAGAGAAACACCCACACCAAACAGGCAAGAGCTCGAGGGGCTCCAGAGACCCCGTTACCTTCACCCTCTGCTCGGTCACGCGCGCCAACCGGGTCTCAGTTTTCTGAACAGCTATGTCCCAGTCTTCTAAAGTACCTTGATGGGAAGAGAAGCAAAAGTTGACTCCTTCTGTTTTTGAAGGACTTAAAAACAAACATTTGTCTGATTTTCCCACACYTCCAGAAGCCACCTCTCCCTAATCACAAGAACTGGAGAGTTCCTCGTTTTAAAAAATTTAATTCACGTAGGCTTCAAGTTTAGAATTCAAATCGTCCCAGATATGCTTCAATTGCCCCTTTTATGACTTGAAAGCCAGGATCTGACCTCTTATGGCAAAGATCATGAAAATACTCRGATATGAAAGGTCACGAGACATTTGCACTAAGACTGAACAATGTTAAGAGTGACCAAATGTTGCAGAGCTGTTCCTGTTGCTGTCTGGGGGTCTGATCTCCAAGACTGAGGCTCACACCCCCAAACCACACAAATGCCCGCAGATAAATTCTCGTTGGTCCCTCCTGGCTCTCGTTCATCTCCACAAAGGACACGGGCGTGACGCCAGAACTCAGGGGCTGCTGCCGCTCTGAGCACCCTGGCACTGCACACAACACGCTCGCTAGAGMAGAGCTCTCCACCAAGGGACATCTGACAGCGTGGGCAGGCATGTTTGACTGTCATGGTTGGCTGGGGCGAGGGCTGCTAAAGCTTCTAACAGGCACAGGCCAGAATGTGGCTAAGTGTCCCATAACATACAGGACAGCACAGAGCGCCACAAGAAGCCCTGAGCTGGGGCCACACCTCAGAGCCTGGCAGCTGGAGACTGAGCAGAGTCCCAGGGCTTACTCCCTCCGTAAGGCCTCACGACAGCACCACCTGCCAGGCTGTGTCATGGCCACTGCCACAGGGCCACAGTTGGTCCTTACAGACCATAAAGATGCTCCCACTGGAGACAGAGCCACAAACAGGTGGAATCCAAGCCCGTCGGGGCCGAGGTCGCACCTTCCATCCTCTCCATGGTGAGCAGCACCTCACACACGTGCTCGGGGTAGTCGCTGGTGCACTGCACGGCCCGGTGCAGAGCCTTGCGGCAATGCTGTGTGTCGCCGTGCGCCCTAGGACAAGAAGCAGAGAGTTGCTGCCACCAGGGTGTAAAGCAAAGTGCACAGGAAGGGAGGGCTGCTTCCACGGTGGGTTCCCCAGACACTAGTTTCCCAGGGGACCCCGCCCGCTTTCCTCCTGCCTCCACCAGTCCCCTCAGCCGCCCAGGGAGGCATTCTCGGGACCGCCCTGCAGGTACCCCTGGACAATGTCCCCAGGGTGCAGTCAGCAGCCAGGGTGTCCGTCTCTGTAGCACATGGAGGTGCAACACGTGGGGCAGAGGCCCAGCAGGTCTAGTCACTTGACAAGAGAAATCCCACGCAGTCCAACCAGGGGGACGCACCCGCCACGCCTTCAGTCAGAGCATTTGGTGGTGACGTGGAAAGACGCCACCAGTCGCGACACACGAAACAAGCCTTTAACCTCAGTTATGTTCCCATTTGTTTTTTAAAAAGTACCAAAGTACACAAATATTGTGAAAATGGATTAAGACACTCAGAAAAAATTCAGAGTGTGGTTCCCAAAGTACGACCCATGTACCCCAAGATCTCTTGGCTCCAGGGGGTCTGCAAAGTCAGAGGACCAAAATGTCACTGGATTTGTTCACTGTGTGACATTTGCATGGTGGCTCTTCATACAAAGTAAGGCAGACACACCTGTTTAACATTATGTGAGACACACTGGGAAGTACACATAAAGCACCTCTGCTGACACTGAAGGACAAAGAAAAGTGTTGCAAAGAAAAGCGTGTGGCATTATWTGAGTCGCGACCTGAATTGGTCACTTTTTTTTTCACAGAACAGTTTTTACTTGAAAGAACAGCTGAACGACAAGCTATGGGCACTGAGACTGTGTTTCACATGTTACTTCCGAAAATTAATGAAGTCAGTCTGCCACACCAGAGAAAACCACTCATGCCACTTGTTGCCAGTGATAAAATCTGAGCTGCTAGCTGGGCAAGCTCGGCACGCCGTCACCCCAGCACCTCGAGGCTGAGGCAAGAGGAGCGTAAATTCAAAGCCAGCCTCAGCCACTTCAAGAGGCCCTAAGCATTTAGCAAGACCCTGACTCTAAATAAAAAGGGCTGGGGATGTGGCTCAGTGGCTCACTGCCCCAGGATTTAATCCTGGAACCAAAAACAATCAGAGCTTCTAGGTGAAAATTAGAGTTTGGGAAAATCTGCATKTGCCACTGTGAGTCTGAAACATCCCTACTTAAAAGACTTTTCTACCAAGTGCAGTAAGGATGTGAACAAATACAGTGTTTTTATACTGTAGAATGAAATGTGTCAACACGTGGAAAGCTGCATGATCATCAGGCACGATGTCCAGAATCTCAGCACCGGGTACAAGTCCATGCTGGGCTGGGCTGGGGCTCAGCGGGAGAGCGCTTGCCTAGCACTTGTGAGGCGCTGGGTTTGATCCTCAGCACCACATACAAATAAATACATAAAATAAAGGTAGATTTCATCTACAACTAAAGAACAATTTTTTTAAAAAAGTCCATTCAAAGTGTGAATTAAAGCCAGGCGTGGCATCATGTGCCTGTGATCCCAGCACTGAGGCTGAGGCAGGAGGATCACTTGAGTCCAAGAGTTTGAAAGCAACCTGGGCACCATAGCAACTCTCCCCACCCACCACCACCCCACCAAAAAAAAAAAAAAAAAAAAAACCTAAGTGCAAACTAGACACATAGATATTAATGTAACTAATTAGGGAATATTCATTAACGTGGTTTCAACTATACATTCTAAATGACATTTAAGAACCTATTTCTTGGCTGGGGATACAGCTCAGTTGGTAGAGCACTTGCCATGCCTCACATGCATAAGGCCCCGGGTTCAATCCCCAGCACCACCATAAAAAATAAACAAATAGATACTACATATTTATTTCATTATTTGTACATAAAAATGATATTTATTTTATTATTTATAAATACTGAGATCTGTGTTTCACATATTTATATTTATTTACATTGATTTGTTTATTTGCTTATTTATTTTGTGGTGCTGGACACTGTGCATGCAAGGTCTCTACCAACTGAGCTATATTCCCAGCCTATGATCTTTAATTAAAAAAAAAAAAAAAAAAGAACTTAAGTAATTACTTAAACCAGGCATGGTGGCACACTCTTATAATCCCAGCAGCTCCAGAGGCTGAGACAGGAGGATTACAAATCCAAAGCCTCAGCAACCTAGCAAGGCTGTCTCAAAATATAAAATGAAAAAGGGCTGGGGGTGTGGCTTAGAGGTTCAATCCCTGATTTAAAAAAAAAAAAAAAAAAACTATTACTTGTTGCATTCAGCCAAGTCTGGAAGGAGAATATCTACCATTAACTGAAAGACTACTAAACAGCCCTTTCTTTCCTAACCTCATCGGTGTGAGGCCAAATTCTCTTTATACTTTCCAATGAGAATAATCATAGCAGATGAAGAAACAGAAAAATTCAGCTGTCTTCCATTAAGCGAACTGAAGAGACAGCAAAAAGAGAAGACCGTACCACTTTTCTCATTAAACTGTTTTAGAGTTTGGAAAACAATCATTTCTCCAAGAAATGTTGTTTATGTTAAATGTAATGGACATTATTTTTAAAGAATTAACAAAAAATATTTTAAATTTCTGTTTTTCTAATTGGATGGATATTGATATAATCCACACAGATGAAAGCTCTTTGGGGCCTCCCAGTTTTAACAGAGTAAGGGGATGCTGCGACCAAAAGGCGTGAGAACCGCTAATCTAGAGAAACAGTCAATAAGCTCCAAAAGTGGCCCTYTCTGGGGTCAGGGTAAGAATGTCCATCTCAGATTTTTCTATCATATATTTTTGTCTCTGTGCTTTTTCAACTTGAGCACAGTTGCTTTTTTAAATAAGGGAAATAATAAAACACTCAAAAAAGGAACAAAGTAGTATAGAAATACATATGACATGTAATATCCAAGACATACTAAACAGAATAGCCGGTCACATTCTCTGTCCCTTCCCCATGTGATAAATATTAGTGGACAGATCGTCTAATTCCAACAGTTTTAAAGGTTTGAAAATTATGTATGCTACAACTGCCTTTCCATTTTAAAGAAATTTGAGCACCAAAAAGTCTCAAAAAATACACCCCAAAACCCTAACAAACAAGCTAGAGATGTAGCTCAGTGACAGAGAGCTTGTCTGGCATGGCGAGGTCCTGGGCTGTGTCCCTACTGCCACAAAAATAAACATGAACTGACCCTGGTTAAGTATGAGTCACAAGTTTTCAATTACTTTGAATTTTCTTCTCTTTGCTATTTTCTTATAAAATAGTGCTATTTTCTTATAAAATCAAATATGATTTTTTTAAAAGATCCCAAAAGAGTCAAACAAAATATTCATGTCCAAATAAAAGAACAAAGAATTAAAAAAAAAAAAAAGAGCCCCATGGCCTGAAGAGTCCCCCACAAAATGCTGTTAGCTTCTCCAGCTCCGCCCACTGGTCAGACAGGGATAAGGACGGCCAAGGCAGCAGGAGGCGGTTACCTTTCCAGGTTGTAGTACTCCAGCCACATGTTGGCGTACTTGGCGTTTCCTTTGGTCATGATGTTGTCCCAGAGCTCCCGAGCTTTCTGCATGTTATTGCACAGTCGTGCCTGCGAGGCAGCAGCAAGCCCAGTGAGGAAGGACCCGGCCATCCCRACATCAGCACTGTCACAAAGCCTGCTCACAGACATGCCTGAGGAGCCCCCCACTGCTACCAGCCTCCGGAGGGTTCCAGGCTTCCCGCTGTGACAACAGGCCAACCACTGGTACCCTCTGCTGCGGCAAGCCTCAGAGGACCTGCCGAGGCCTCTTGTGAACAGAGCGGCACACTCCAGCGCCCACTCAACAGCATGGGAGGAGGGTCATTTGCTTTCTGTTTCTACTGAGCTTCATTGCAAGGGTTCAAGTTCAGARCAATGCACAGACAGAACGACTGACCTGGCATTAGACACCAGTTAATAAGCCCCCTGACCTAAGGCCCCTAGCCTGAGCATGTTGCCCAACCTCTCTGAGCCTGGGATCCTTAAAGTACCCACAAGCCAGACCACCTATACGGAAACTACCTGACAAGTGTGAGCTGCTTTGGCCTGACTCGCTCAGAGAGTACTCCATGGCTCAATCAGTTTGATGTCCCTGGATCGGAATAACATTCCCTATATCCACTCATATTTTTGCCAAATCATCCTCTTTTGCCTGGATTAAGACCTGAGCAGCACAGACAGCCTCTGTGCGACAACCACACGCAGCCCRCTCCCGCACAGGAAGCAACAAGGGAGGGGGACCTAGCACTAGAGGACCTAGCCACACGGCCCAGAGGCTGTCCCCACCAAGACAAAAACAAATGTTCAGGGTGGGGCTGGAGCTTGGGCTCAGTGGGAAAGCCCTCGCCTGGCTTATGTGAGGCCCTAGGTTCGAACCTCAGCACCACATATAAATAAACAAAATAAAAGATCCACTGACAGCTTAAAAAAAAAAAAAAAAACAAATAAATGTCCACCATGCTAGGTAAATAACACAAATCCTTAAGACTCTAGAACACYCCGGGATTCTAACTGTATTCCACAACACTATTAATAAGGACCCTTCAGAGGTGAATGAAACTCAAGAAATGTCCACAGGTTTACCTCGATCCTAGCCCAGTTTTGCATGATCACGCAGCTCGGATCTCCACTCTCATTGAACCCTTTAAGAATGGAATTAGTGCAAATCAGAAAGGAGTCCGAGGCAAACCCTGTTGGCTGGGCAGGCAGGGCAAAGAGGGCAGGAGGGCAGGAGGGCAGGGGGGTAGGAGGACAGGGGGGCAGGGGGGAAGGGGGCAGGCGGGCCGGACTCACTCTCCTCGACCTCCTGCTGCAGGTGCTCCAGAGCGCGCGTGAACGCCGACCGCAGCTCCTCCAGCTCCTTGCTGGAGTCTGTTGGAAATTGCAAAAAGGGTCKTACAGAGTCACCCAGGCTGCCACTTTTTTTATTGTCATTTAATCCTATACCTGCCTGGAAACCCAACCTGCGCCTGGCATCAGGCAGAAGACCAGAAACAACAGCCCCATCCCCGCTCTTCTCACAAAAGGGAAGAATGAGATAGGGGAAGGACACAGTGGGGACAGAGGGCAGAGCCAGAGGTGCGCACAGGGGACGTGGGGAACCACAGCAGGAGGGGGTCTCCCCAAATGAGCTGGAGGCCAGAAGGAGCACGGCTGAAGGCCACCTGCACAAAATAACCACCGTGAGGTGCCCACGCACACATTGGGGTTCCTCTTTTCTTTTGGGGGAGCAGGGTTGGAGCTGGGCATCAAGCAGGGGTCCTGCAGAGAGCCAAACAGCTAAAGGACATCATCAGCCTTATTCTAAAAACTATCTGGAACTTATTGAAAAAAAAAAAAAGAGAGAAGAAGAAATGAAAACTGAGAGAGGAGGCTGCAGGCTGGCAGGAGCCACAGGAACCTTGGGCACCTCTCCACAGCGCACTGATGCCCGGGGGTGGGGGGTGCCAAGGCCTGGCCTGGGGAACTAAACCATGGCACCCAGGAGGTGTCGGGAGAAGCCCAATTCCAGGGAGAGCGGGTGCTGCGGTACCTTGCTTGAAGTCCACCCTCCTCCTCAGGTAATCCAGGTACGCCTGCCAGATCTCCACGTAATCGGTGGCCTGGATGAAGCCAGCATTCAAAGCCCTCTCAAAGGTCACTGAAGTTGGAGAAAAGGTCAGGATTTAGTGCCAATTCAAAAAGATGCTCATATAAACTTAATAAGCTCTGCTGACTACAGAGCACCTCATGAAATAAGCTGGAGAAAAATGCTCCAAAGGGAGGCTCACACGACACCGCAGACAGTGCTCTGGCAGGCCTCACTCCACAGACGCCCTGCAAGGAGAGTCCCGGATGGAGAATAGACCACCGCTTCTTTACAAATGATCCCAATTAGTCTTAGCATGTTGGAAAGATCTAGGAGCCACCAACACAGCCAGCTTACCTCCACTCAGAGCCCCTTTGGTCACTAGTACTCAATATTCCAAGAAAACCCTAGGGAATGCTGACTTCATGACTTTTCCCAGTTCCATTTCTCAGTTGGGACAAAAAGCTCAGAAAATCTTCCCACAAAAACACACGCACCAGAAATCACTCGATGCTCAACTCCATGCCTCTCCATGGCCAGGAGGTAGCGGCTCCACAGGGCAACAGTCCAGGGGCAGTTCCTAACAGCACGGCTGTGTGCAGACAAAACCAGATCCTTCACTTTCAGCTGCCGATCCTAGGAGAAAGAAGTCCAGGGTGAGAAGACAAAATGTTCTTGTTGAGACTTCATCATCGGGCTGGGGCTGGGGCTGGGGCTCAGCTACGGAGCGCTTGCCTAGCACATGTGAGGCACTGGGTTCAAGTCTCATCACTATATATAAATAAATAAAATACAAGGTCCAGCAACAACAATAAAAAAAAAAAAAACTTCATCATCAACTAGACACTGTCAGCACAATCAAGTGACAAGAGAAATTTCCATTATTATGTCTCTTTTGCCAGGGAAGTAGATAAGAGAGGAGTGGGTGGGGAGAACCTAGGTAAGAGAGGCTAAAAAGACATCAACCAATCCTAACATGTGAACCATGTCTGGATCCTTTTATATAAAAAGGATCTTTTGTATGTACATACAGAAATATTTCTCAATGAAATATCATTTTTGAATATGCTTCAATATAACACAAAAGGGGAAAGTAGTAAAATTAAAGATGAACCCAGAATACAGCCATAATAGTTAACCACTGTTGAAGATGAAGACGGATATATAAGCCTTCATTTTCCTAGTCTGTCTACTTTTGTTTATATTTTTTCTATAACCAAAAGTTAAAAGAAAAAAACAATCCATTATTAAGTCCTCAAGAGTAGGGATACAAGCACATTTTTTTTATACAGTTAGTGATCAATTTAAARTAACTTCAAGCCAGGCACATTGGTACACACCTATAATCTCAGCGACTCAGGAAGTCAAGGCAGGAGGATCAAAAGTATAAGGTTAGCCTCTGCAACTTAGCAAGACCCTGTCTCAAAATAATAAAAAGGATTGGGAATGTAATCCAATACCTTGAGTTGAACCCACAGCACCCCTGGCTTCCATCTCCAGTAACAAAAAATAAGATAAAAATTACCTTCAAACACGAGAAGAAATCCCTGAGCAAAGTAACAAAGAGTCTGAGAACAGAAGGATAGAGAAGGGGGACAAAGGCAGCAGGTTTCTTTTATTTTTTTGAGGAGATGGGGATTGAACCTAACAGAGTTCTATCACTGAGCTACATATTCAGCCCTTTTTATTTTCTGAGACAAGGTTTCACAAACTTTCCTAGGCTGGCCTCCAACTTATGATCCTCCTGCTTCGGCCTCCCAAGTCGCTGGGATTACAGGTGTGCATGTGCCACTGCACCCGGCACATGCAACTAACTTCTGGCCGTCTTAATGATGCCCTATAATCATATTCTGGCAAAAACAAAACAAGGCAGAATGGTTATCTTACTAGGTACTGACTGTAACGGATCCATAAGTCTGGGACGAGGCAGTTCTCCACAAGGGCCCGCTCAAAGATCAACTGAATGCGAGCAGGGTCGCCCACCTTCATCTCGAAATCGATGTACGCTTGATATTCTGCCAACCTCGGTGCCTCTGCTTGCAGCTGGAGACCAGGGAGATTGTACATAGGTTTAATTCAGTTACTGGACACTGTCAGGAAACACAAAACATCTCCAAATAAAATAAACGTTGGCAAGAGTGGCTATGCCAGGAGAAGAATCACCAAATCCTCCCTCTCGGGGCTACTCCAAGACAGGTGGGTACTTTGATGAGCACAGCCCTAGTTTTCTCCTCTGGTCCAAAGTGCCCTCTCCCGGCAACAGTTACAAAGGCTCCAAAACTGAATACATTCCTGGACCACGGGGAATTTAAAGTGGTCACCAGTCAGAAAGTGAATGAAAGAGCAATGACCGCTGCCCATCATCCTTCACCACAGAACTCACTGAGCCGCATAAGGGCAACYCAACTGGAAAAACCCCGTGCCTGTGCTGTAGCAGGTAGCTCACTCCAAACACCGGCTCCCACGGGGCACAGGCCCAGGGAAAAGACAGGGAAGCTGGGCTAGGCGCACCCAGCGACACAGGAGCAAAACTCTTTTTAGACAGCATCCTCTGATTCAACTTGTTTTTTCTTCAGCCACACTGCACTGATGGCCATGACAAAACTCAGCTGGTGAGCACTACTCCTTAACAAGGTTCGTGACGCACACGTACAACCAACCTTTACAGGTAAAGGGAGGGGGGCACCTGCAGGCTGAGCAGAGGGGGCACCTGCAGGCTGGGCAGAGGGCACGCCCTTTCTGCACAGAGACACGATGCTATAGCACCTGCCTCCTGTGTGAACCACCCAAAGTGTGCCACTGAGAACAGCAAAAACTGCTGGATTCAATAGTTTTAAATCTTCCTAAAAAATTAACAAACTGACAAAGGAACAGGAAATACTATGGAGAAAATCTAACGGAGGGCAGCAGGCTAAGCTGCTGAGRGGAGGTTGAGCTTCCGATGGCTCAGCAGACAGTAAGATCTGATCTCACAACTGTCACACTGCGAGTCTCACTGCCATCCACATCTTGCCTTCAGGGAAGCCGAGACACAGGGGCTCACTCCTCACCAGAGTCAGAGTGAGTGACAGGACCAGGGCTCACCTAGGCAGCCTAACTCGCAGTCGGTGCTCCACTCGCTGTGCCAAGAAGGACTAAAACAGAATCCAGAAGCCCACGAACCTCCAACAGGACCAACAAAGAGACAGTCTCCTCTGGWCCTGTGGTAAGGACGCTGCGGACATCCAGCCAACCAAGGAGGACTTAAAGTCAGCCAGCAGGACAACAAGGCTGGCCGGGCCGAGCACTTGCCCAGAATGTGCGAGGCTCTGGGTTCCATCCCGCTGCCTGCAGCAGCAGCAGCAGCAAAGCAAAGTAGACAAAGAGGGAGGAGGAAGAGGAAGAAGAAACACGACGACCTCAACGATCAGGAGGCCAGAGGCCAGAGGCAGGCAGTTACCTTCCCGACGGCAAGCCCAGAAGCCAGAGCCGGCCTGCTGCTGGCCAGCCACTGAGCACACAGCTGCCGGGCACCGCCTGCAGCCTGAGAGTGACCAGGGAAGCCAGACCTCCCAGACGACACTCCAGCTGAGATCTCAGCTGAGACTCCAGGATCCAAGACGGAAGGAAGGCAAAGAAAGCACGAGGGCATTCGCAAACGAACTGGAAGCGTAAAGCGCACTGCTAATTGTGACGCCAGCTCAGAGCAAAAGGCAAGGCGGGGGGGGGGGGGTCCGTCCGCCGGAGCAGGGGCGGGGTGCCACTCACAAATAATATTGTCAGCGCCACTATCCCGAAGCCCCCAGAGCCTGATAATAAGAAGCCAGCAGGGCAGGGGTACATGCAATCCCAGCAGCTCAGGAGGATGAGGCAGGAGAGTCACAAGCTCGCAGCCAGCCTCAGCAACCTAGAAAGACCCTCTCAAAACAAAAAACACCAAGGACTGGGGATGGAGCTCAGTGTTTGTGAAGCACCCCTGCATCAATCCCTGTTCTACCCAACACACACATTAACAAAATAATTCAACACGTTGGTTGACTAAAAAAATTAATATAAAATATTGATTGCATTTTATACACCAAGAAAACTAGAAAATAAAAATCTCTGAAAACATCATTTAGAAGTACCTTCAAAAAACAAATACATCTAAAAATGTTTAAAACATTAGATTAACTTGTAAAATTATTAGAAAGCTTTTCAGAAAGACCTAACTTCAGAGACCTATAAAATGGTCACAGATTGGAAGACATGGATTTTTCYTCCAACTAATCTACAGATTCAATATGATTCCAAAGAAAACTCCACAGAATTTTAAAAGCTAACTCTTAGGTTTAATGGAATCACCAACAACTAAAGAAAGCCAAGTCCCTCTGAAAAGGAACGAGGCGGGGAGGACTCACCCGGCCCAACACATCCTGAAACCACAACACTGGCCCAGCACGGCGGCAGGCCCTGGGTCCCATCCCCGCTGCCATGGACTATGGACTGTTAACCTGTGACAGAAGTGCCACTGCACACCACCGGAGGTGGGGGGGGAGGTTACAGGAGCCGGGGCTGACACCCGTCTCCACTTGGGAACCGAGAGCAGCCAGCCGGCCTCACACCACCACAGACCAATATGGTGAGTGAGGGACCCAAACATGAGACAAAGACGAGGCGACCACGAGGAGAAGAGAGCTGGAGACAGATGTAAAGACAGGAGAGGCCTGGTGTGACCACAGAGGCAGCACGACCCAAAGGGAAAGAAAGACAAGCCTGGCCAGAGTAAAGTCACGACGTGTTCATCCAAAGACACCACTAAACAGGACACTAAAAAGAGGAGCCACGAGCGGGGGTGGAGGACAGTACCATATACAGCCAAGAATAAGCGCTCCCAAGAACCCACCAGAAACAGACAAAAACAGGAAGGACTGGGGCGCAGCCAACCCCAGCACAACTGGGGGAGACAAASGGGTGGGAGGTCAAAATTTTATGGGCACTTCACAGAAAGGGAAATTCAGAAAAAGGCCAGTGAACATAAAAAGATGTCCGACTGCATTAGTAATCAAGGAAAATGCAAATTAGAATTATGATTTCAAACTTACCAGAGTTTGGCTACAATTTAAGTGTGCAAGAGTGGCCAGAGCAAGCAATTCAGATGCCGCTGGCTGGAGTGCAAACAGACCACTGAGACACGGGCATCGCCTGACCATCCAGCACCTTCATGCCCAATACAGACCTCAAACCTCCCACGTGTCCACCACAAGACACGAACAGGGTGTTCAAGCAACAGCGACCCTGCTACCAAAAACCTGGAACCACCCAACTGCCCACCAGCCACACGGACACACCAACTGTGGCACACACAGACAACCTCCTAGCAATGACAACGAATGGACTGTCACTCTACTCCTCTACATGAAGCCCCAAAAAGTGTTGGATGAAAGAAGATATACAGCAAGAATACGTTATAAGTTTAAACACAAGCAAAATTAAACAATATATTAATTAAGGATGCATTCATAGATTGTAAAACTATAAAGAAAAGCAAGAGAATGATTATCACAAAAGTCAGGAAAGTGATTACCTCTCGGGAGAGGGAGGAGGAGGCAATCGGAGAGGGGCACATAGGAGACTTCTAAGGTACTGGCAATGTTCTATTTCTTAACCTGGGTGGTGGGTACATGGATGTTCGCTTTATTATAAGATATAAACTGTAGGTACACATTATAATACTCTACATACTGCACAATAAAACATACTTTTCAAGATACTGTTAACTTGYAACTATCCATCAGGGAAATGTGTGCAGAGAGAAGTTCCCCATAAAAGCAGGACACTCACCAGAGCTTCTTCATAGGGCTTGTACTTCTCCAATTGCTGCAGCGCCTTGTTATAGCTCTGAACGACCGACTCTGGTATTGGGTCTTCTGACCATTCTTCATACTCGGCGAATGTGGCCTCCATATCTACCAAAAGACGAATTCAGCCCCATGGATCTTGCCACTCGGTGTTATCAACCCAAACAKAGAAAATGTCATGGACTCAAGTGCCACTAGGCCCCTCCCATATCCATGGCCACGGCAGCTCTATAGATCACATTCTGAGCTCTTTTGCTGAGCCCAGGTTTGGCCTTAGAATCTGTGTCAAAGTGACATGCCAGATAACTCTACCAGTCAACTCATCAGTCACTGAAGCTGTGGGCGACACTTACCTAGGGCGTCAGGGCTGATTCTAACACCACACACCCATCCCCTCATCAGCACTTGCAACTCTACAAGGCGGGCGCTATCATAATCCTCATTTTGCAAATGGAGAAACTGAAGCAGAAAGTTAAGTGACTTCTCCACAGGTAACAGCAGAACAAGGCTTTGAACAGGACAGTCAGGTCCAAGTTCACACTCTAATCACTAAGCCAGGCTGTCTCCCAGTGGTGTGCGAGATGAAAGCTACAAACCAGTTCAGTTCTGACCTCTGCCGCATGTCACCCAATTAGACAGCCTCCTTCTAGTACGTTCAATACAATCCAAATAAACCGTGAAGTTCAAAGGCGAAGAGAGCTGGGCTCAAGCAGAGCTGCCCAGAGGCTCTGAGTGTGTAACYGTGCGCTGGGGACAGATGAGAGGACAGGGCCAAATGCTTCCCACACTGGAAAGTCCTCCAGTGCTGCCCCTGCTCAGAGTTCTAGTGCCAAAGGCTCACCTCACCAAAATGTATTCAGCCAAAAGGGAGACTCTTAAATTCAAACCTGAGTCTAGCCAGCCAACTGTACTTCTGAACCAAAGCGCCTCCAGAGAGGAATGACCCCCCCAGTGCCCATGAGGCTACTCATGAAAAGAAAATGCTTTTAACAAAATTTTTATTCAATAGTCTCCCCAGGAAATGCAGGTGTCCATCTTCCTATTCTTTTCAGAGACCATCTCCCCTTCCCACCCACATGCTGAAGTAGGGAGGAGAGCTCCACGGGSCGGAGGGGCCAGCTGCCCGTCCTGCGGACTCAGAGGACCCTCCTGGGCATTCCAACTCAACACAGGTTTTACTAAGGACCTCATCCAGGTGACACTGTCCAGTAAGGATGAGAACCCCAGGCCCAGCTCCGCACAGGACAGAGAAGGTCTAGCTCAGGACAGTCAGAAGGAAGCATTTTAAAGCACAGCGGGCTGTGAGCCGTTTCTCTTACCGTAGAGGGGGATCGCCAGCTGTCGCCGGAAAAGACTGTGGACTTTCTCAAGCTGTGAATCAAAGGTTTGTTCCCGGTCAAAAGGGGAAAGGAAGCCAGCCATGGGCTAAAGAAGCAAATCAGTAGTAAATGGCACACTTTGGTTCTTTCTACTTCAAAAAACATCTCATCAAATTTTCGGTTCAAGTTAGAAAAACTTTTCTACCTCCTCTTACACAGATGGCATCCGAGCAAATGCCTGGGGGTGCTCAGAAGTAAACGCCACCCCTGCCTGTAAGGGTCTGCRACAGGAGGAGCCAAGAATAATGCAAGAAATGCATCCAAATGGCCACAGTGCTTCAGTCTCATAAGAGCAAAGCACGACGAGGGCCACCGCGTTACGGGGCCTGCTTGGTGAGACCCRTGAGGGCCCTGCCGTCAGAGACGGGGCAATGAGGCGGATCCCAGAGAAGGGGCCCTGGGGCGCACTGCAGGCTCAGAGACTTCCACTTCAATAAAGGACAGTGGCAAGGCTGTTCGGGGCACAGTGGGAGCACAGACCTGCAGGGATCAAGTCTGACTCTAGAGTCGCAAGCGTCACGCAGGGTGAGGCGAAGGCACCACGCCAGCCTCTGAAGCGGTGGAGTAACCCAGAAGCCCCCGCGGCTGTTGGGCCATGCGTGCTGAGGGGACGGGGCGCTGAGTCTGGACTCTTTTAGTTTTTAGAATATCTGCACATACACAGCGAGTGAGCCTGGGGGGGAGGGCTGTGTGTTCACAGACACTTTATACACACAGTCTGAGGGAAATTTTATACAAGATTTTCAGTGCACCTGACTATGACCCAGCATCACATGACACTAGGTGTGGAATTTTCAACTTGTGACAAATTTTGAAACATTTTTCAGATTTTAAATTTTTGAATAAGGGATGCTCAACCTACCACGGCCTGTCAGGGGCCCCACGATGCATCACTGACAACTGTGCATGTGCCACACRCAGCACAGAGGGGACTCGGCTATAGAATTCCATAAATCGTAATCTTAAAAAATGAATTATTATGGAGTACGAGGTCAAACCTCCCTCCCCAACATTTTCCCTAGTGAAATGCTATGCTGTTCTTGCATTCACCTGTAACTAAAGCAGTGTTTTAAAATATCAGAAAAAAAAATAGTAGCCATCTGCTTTTAAGTCAAATAAACCATTCTTGCTATTCCATAAATACTACTAATTTTATTTATTTTATTGTCCATCCACAGATTAGCAAGGACTATTTTGTTAACTATGTTTACTGTAAGACCTATCCTGAACCCTTGTCTCAAAATGATACTTCCAAGACTCAGAAAGACCACCCCTGACCATTAAGAGGGAAGCATGGGCCTTGGAGACCTGGACACTCACCCGAGCAGCTTCCACAATGGCACTTTCAAACTCTCGGTAGGCCTCCCAGATGGCCAGTCCTTTGGTCATGTGCAAACCGACAGATGAGAGAGCCCTTTCAAACACAGAGCGAACCTTCTCAAGGCCACCTTTCTGACCAATCCCACCAACGGAGTACTGACCATACTCCAGCCAAATGTTAGGACCTAAAAATGAGAAGTGTTCAATTAGCTCCAGACGTACAACACCCAATATCAAAACTGACGCATAACAAAAGAAATGTGTCCTCATTCATGCAAAACAAAAAAGGGCCACCATCAACTATTTTAAAATATATTTCTAAGTACAACCATTAAAAATTTACTGTATAAACAGGACATGCCGAGTGGTACTGTGCAGTTTGATTGTGCTTACAACATTTATTTATTAAAACTGAAAGAACCTGGAAATGGATTTCAGTGAAAATAGTTACGAAGCCCAGTCGGTCTTCAGAAAAATTTCAAAGCCTAGAATTTTCAACTTTTGAACCCTAAGAATTCCTAAGTCTTCTAGTTTAAAGTGAAAGACTAAAATTAAAAGCACTAATCCTTTTACTAGAAATCTCTATTTTAAGTCTCCTTCTTAATGGTGTTGAAACAAAACAACTTGGTTGCCCTGTTTTGTTTTGTTTTTCCACTTTCTTGTTGACCCTTCTTTAAGACCAGACAGACGAATTAAAACTGCATGAATCATCACTGCTTATACTACACTTTGCCTATTAGGTCACTTCTTAGGGACCTGAAATAATTTCAGAGGCCTATCCGCTAACGTTAAAATAAAAATGCTAAAAGGATGTAGAAGCCAATTTGACGATCACTACATGTGCCCGAGGCTGCTGCTTCACAGGGAGACCTATGTCAAACAAGGCGGCCAAAGCCTGTTAGCCGCCCTGCTCCCGCTCACCAGCAGAGATGCCCCGGGGCTACAGAACCAAAGCGGAAGTGAGCCAGCTGCCAGGTCTGAGGCAGAGGTGCACCCGCTACCACGGAGGACCCCACACGGAAACTTTGTCACTCAGGCCCCAGTTTGCATCAGGTCCACTCCTGGCGTCGTCCACTCTGTGGGTTGGGACAAATGTTCTGAAGACCCGTGTTTCCCACTGCGACATCACCCAGCGCAGTCCTGTGGGAAGCCATTCTCACACGTGATCGGGTGCCTCCCGTTGAGGGTCTGAGGCACTTTGGCATAAGTCGAAGTTTTTCCCGGCCGTCTCCTGATGAGAGAGCCCATCCGTGTGGGGGTGTGCCTGACCACTGACCCCGGGGACCCAATCGCTGACCCTGACCTTGGAGTGCAGCCCCCCCTCAGCCTTCATTGGATGGAATTCTCCCCTGAATCTCTGGTTCCCTAATAAAAGGCTACTCCCCGGYGTGCTCGCTCTCTCTCTCCTGCTAGCCCTGAGTAATCCTTGCTGCCCTGCTGGGCGGCTAGAGGAGCGAACCAGAGAGGGGAGCYGTCTCGGACCTAGCAATAGAATTAAGGTAATTGAGTCTTGTGTTTTTATTTCGATCTCGTCTAACTAACTTTATGCCTAGAACCTCATTAATGAAACCACTGCGCAGGCCGCGTGGTAKACAGTCCCACTCACGAATCCTTCCCTCTCCCTCTCCCTCACCCCACATCTTTTTACTGTCCCCGTGGTTCTGCCTTCTCCACAATGTCACCTAGTTGGACTCATAGGATGGAGCCTTCCAACTGGCTTCTCCACTTAGTAAGCTGCACTTGGGTCTCCTCCACATCCTTCTACGGTGCACAGCTCATTTCTTCTGAGGGCTGAACAGTGCATCACTACCTGGACATACCCGGCTGTTTACCAGCCCACCCCTTAAGGACATCGTGGTTGTTCTGAAGCTTTGGCAGTTAAGAATAAAGCTGCTATATCCATCCATGCGGCAGCTCTTATGGACTGAAGTTTTCAACTCCTCCGAGCGCACACCAAGGAGTTCCAGGCTGGATGGATCAGAGTATGTTTAGTTTTAAAGGAAACGCCACACCACCCTCCCAATGGCCATACCATTTTGCATTTTTCACCAGCAATAAACCAAAGCAGCATTTGCTGCTGCCAGTGTTCCTGGCCCTTCTAACAGGAGCACAGCGGGCTCGTGCTGTTTGAATCTGCATTTCCTGTTGACATAATGTCGAGAGTTTTTCAAGTGCTCAAAAATGTATCTTCTCTGCTGAGGAATCAATTAAGATCCTTGGACCACTTTTTAAATCAAGTTATTGGTTTTCTTATTGTTAAATTTTCAGAGTTCTTTCATATTTTGAATAACAGTCATTATCAGGTATGTGTTTTCCCCAGTCCGTGGCTTCTCTTTTTACTTTCTTGACAATATCTTTCACAGAGCAAAAAATGCTTCATCTGAATAAGATCCAGTTTATCGATTCTTTCTTTTGTGGATCATGACTCTTGTGTTGACTCTAAAAAGCTGTCACCAAATCCAACGTCATCTTGGGTCATATTTTCCAAGTTATCTTTTTAGGAGTTTTATAATTTCATGCTTTTACACTGAAGCGTGTGATTCATCTTGAGTTAAGTTTTATGAGGGTCTAAGAGCTATATCTAGATTCATTTAGACCATGTGGCGTCCAGTTGTTCTAGGACCACTTGTTGAAAGAATTCTCTTCTTCAGTAGTGGAAAGGAAACAAGGGAAGGGAGGCAGGAGGGTAGGTTCTGGGGACTGAATATGAACCAATTATATTGATGCATTTAAGTCAAAATGAATCCTAATATATGCACAACTAACATGAACCAATAAGAACAGAACTATCTTTCTCTACTGTATTACCATTGCTCCTGGCAAAGATCAGCTGACTATATTTATGTGGATCTCTTTCTGAACTCTGTATACTATTCCACTGATCTACTGGCCTATTATTTTGGCAACTCCACACTTTCTTGATTACCACAGAATCATGGAAAGTCTTCAAGTAGAGTAGTGTCAGTCTTTCAACTTTGTCCTTCCCCTGGCTGTTGGCCATTCTGGGCCTTTTGTCTCTTGATAAAAACTTTAGAATCAGTACATCAATGTTCACAAAATCAACTGCTGAGATTCCCTGCGTTTGGGCTGYATCTCTGTAGCCCACTGGGAACAAAGGACAGGACAACACTCAGCCTTCCTCTCCATGAGAAGGGATTTCTCTTCATTTATTTGGTTCTTTAGTTTTATCGGTTTTAAATCTTCCTCCTATAGAACTTCTACAAATCCGTTAGCCTCATACTTAAGTATTTTGTTTTGCAGATGCTAATGTAAATGTTAATACATTTATAACTTCAAATTCCATTGCGGGTACATGAAAAGCAACTGATTTTTGCATACTGGCCTTGCAGCCTACAGCCCTTCTACAATTGCTTTAGAACTAATGTTCCTAGAGGGATTTTTTGTCAATTCTTTTGGATTTTTAACATCTTGTCATCTGAAAACAAAGATTATTCACTTCTTCCTTTCCAATTTGTACCCTTTCACTTCCAGGTCTTATCTTGCATTAGTGAATCCCAGTATAATGCTGAAAAGAGAGCTGGTGACAAGTGATATCCTTGCCTCGTTCCTGAATTAATAATATTTTTTTAAATATTTGTTTTAGAGTTGGAGATGTAGCTCAGTTGGTAGAGTGCTTGCCTGGCATGCAAAAGGTTCCGGGTTCAATCCCCAGCACCACAAAAAAAAAGGAAAAAACTAAAATATTTGTTTTAGTTGTAGATGGACACAATACTTTTATTTTTTTTTAATGTGATGCTGAGGATTGAACCCAGTGCATTACCATGCTAAGTAAGCGCTCAACCACTGACTCAAAGCTCTAGCCCCAAATTAATAGTATTTTAAACTCAGAAAACCTAATGATACAACGATGCAAGGAAACAAAAAAAAAATCACTAGCAAAAAAAGAGAAAAGAAAAATCACTAGATTCCAGGCCCCAAAATAGCTACATAGCCTCTGCCTGAGACTCCTCCAAAGGTCAAAGAAACCGATTATCAAAACCTTTAAAGAGCCAAAGGGCCATAGCCATATCCTATCCAGGGCCCAGACAGCCCTCTCAGCAGCCTGAAAATCACTAATGAGCACACACCAAGATCTGGAGGTCCACGGCTGACACCTTCGAATGTCTCCAACAGCTGAAAACTAAGAAGCAGGCAAAAGTGGCTTCTGAATGTTTAAAGCAACTGACACAATTTCCATGCACAAAGCTCCTGAAAATGACGGGACGCCTCAGGGTCTCATCTAAAATCACTTAGAGAGGGAAAGGGGAAGTGTGGGGAGTGACACTGGCCAATGACACTGTGTGCCTGTTCAAATAGACAACAAATCCAGTCATCATGTACGACCATAATGCACCAATAAAGAATGTGGAAAGAGAGGAAGAAAATTACTTATGAGGCATAATCTAAGAGGCTTATGTATCTGGCTTCCTGGCCCACAACAGGTCTGAATGCGGTGGCGGAAAGGAAGGCACATGGCTATCAGCACTGAGTGACAGGGAAGGTCTGACAGCAGCGACAACTGCCAAATCACGAGGGACCGACAACCATCAGAGTCTGGACAGGGCCATCGACTGCAGAGAAAGACAAGCAGTGCTGTTAACGGCGACTCTGAGACATCCAGAGAGAGGGGACAAGGCCGCAGGGAACATGGGCACATCAAACATGCACTCTACCAGGAAGTCTAAGAGGACCTGTGGGCAACCTGGAGGCAGAGGCTCAAGGACAACTTCTAAAAGCACATTTAGTATGACTTTATATTCAGGAGGTAACTACTATTTTCATAAGATGATAAAAAGTAGAAAATTATAGATTCTTCTAGGTTTGTTAAAAAAAAATCTCCAGCCCAGGGCAGTCTATTTCTATCACTGCTTCTCACAGGGGGGATGCCCACAGGAGTGAGGCAGAGTAATCAGAACAGGAAGAAGGATTTTTAATTAAAAGAGGGACTATTTTTAAATGCTTTTATATATATATTTATATATATATATATACACACACACACACACACACACACACACACACTCACACACTTTTTTTTTTAATATTTATTTTTTAGTTTTCGGCGGACACAACATTTTTGTATGTGGTGCTGAGGATCGGACCCAGGCCGCACGCGTGCCAGGCAAGCGCGCTACCGCTTGAGCTACATCCCCAGCCCCACACACACATATTTACTTACTTATTTATTTATATGCAGTGCTGAGAATTGAACCCAGTGCCTCACACATGCTAGGYAAGCACTCCACCACTGAGCCACCACCCAGCACCTTTGAATGCTTTTTAAATACATTTTGTCCAAACACTGTCTGATATGGTCCTTAACACACGCACGTCAAATACCAAAGACAATTATAAAATAAATAAGGGAGGGTATAAGCTCTCAGAGAGAGAAAGGCTTCTGCTAAAATGTCCACCCACCTTTAGCAAATGGGTTAAACACATACATATTGGGAAGGGAAACAGAGACCAAGGTAAAGTTTAATTATATAGAAAAATTTGTCATAGTACTGGGATAAAGAAATCAAGAGTCCAATAAAAAAAAAAAAAAGAAAGAAAGAGAGAAATCAAGAGTCTCTGTGGAGACGGAGTGCCTCTGTACCTGGACACATGATGAAATATGACAGAGCTACACACACATTGTACCAAAGTCAAATTTCCTGGTTTTGGGTCGGCGCTGATGRAGTGCCCGCACAGGCCATCTCTATGATGCAACTTCCAATGAATCTATTCACTCCAAAAAGATTTTTTAATGTTTTAACGTTTTTTAAAAAGGTGTTTTGTCCAAAACCTCTGAAAAGCTACTTGATGTGTAAAAGATAACCCTGCAGATAAACGCTGAGTGTTAAGCTTATTTATTCTACTATAAACGTTTCTTCTGCCCTTGTTTTAAAACCAAATATCCTCATCTGAACACCAAAGACAGGGACAAGGAAAACTGAACTGAGATCTTCTCCTTGCTAGACAGTCTCTCCTTCCCGGGTAGCAACATGTCATGACACAACCCAAGACAAATGACAGCGCCCGGGGAACTCACAGATGTAGTCCTTCACGGCTTTCTCAAAGAGCTCATAGACGTGCTCGCGGTCCAGGCCGTCCAGGGCCATGCTGATCTCATCGTGCAGCCACTCCAACCAGAGTTCTAGAAGACAACACAGCGCCGCGTTACCACCTCCACCAAGGAGGGCTGGGAGGGGACTTTAATTCAGGGACAAACATCTTATCCACTTTAATTACACAACCTGAACCACTTCAGAGACGTTCAATTCTTTTTTTTTTTTTTTTTTTTTGGTATGTGGTGCTGAGGATCGAACCCGGGCCGCACGCATGCCAGGCGAGCGCGCTACCGCTTCAGCCACATCCCCAGCCCAGAGACGTTCAATTCTTTAAAAAAAAAGTTTTTGAACTTTTTATTTATGTTTTATTTTGAGACAGGGTCTACTTAAGTTGCCCAGGCTGCCCTCAAATTTGCAATCTTTCTACCTCAGCTTCCTAAATTGCAGGGATTGAGGCATATGCATGGCACGCAGCCAGAAATTCAATTCTTAAAAGCTGAACCAAGCACACCTGTTTTATTCTTTCAAATAAGATAGTCATCAAAGTCATAACTGGCTGTGCAATGGTGCATGCCTACAATCCCAGTGGCTCGGGAGGTGAGACAAGAGGATTGAGTTCAAAGTCAGCCTAAGTAACAGCAAGGTGCTAGGCAACTCAGTGAGACTCTGTCTTTAAATAAAATACAAATAGGACTGGGGATGGGGCTCAGGGGTCAGTGCCCCTGAGTTCAATCCTTGGTCCCCGCCCCCCTCAAAAAAATCATAACTGCCCATACCTGTTGGGCATTTTGTATTTTGCAAAATACACACACACACACACACACACACACACACACATACACACACATATGTATTTTCTCATTCAATCTTCATCTCAATCCTATAAAGTAGGTGACAGTAACATTAATAATAATGGCACTACCTAGTGATGTACGACCATGGGTTAAATGGTGAACACAGACTGGCTCATCTTGTGTTACATGCTGCAAGATGGAAACTACTGCTACCCTCTCTCTGCTGCAAGTAAAGGGAGACTTAAACTGAGTGCGAGGTTGTTCAAGTGATTTGCTCAGATCTCATTAGGAAGGCCTCTGGGCATCCACACCCAACAGTTACACTGCAACAGGAAGACAGAGCTAGATCTTGGGCCAGGGCTTTCTGACTTCTGCCCAAATGAGCACTTATGAATGTGCATGAAGAGTTAACTCCAAAGTGGCTCAGCGTAACCATGTTTCTAATAAACAAATATGCAGAAATCACCTACACCCGCAACTACGGTGAACAGTTAAGAATGACACATTTGCATGAAACACTATAAAAGCTGAATTACATTGATAATTTCTGGTTCTTAGAGAATAGGTTAAACACATACTGGAATGGGAAAGAGACCAGGGTAAAGTTCAATCACATAGAAAAATTGTATCACAATATTGGGATAAATAAATCGAGATTGAAAATGTGAATCTGCAGTGTGTGATCACACCATGTTTTACAAAAACTACAAGACAACCAGCCAAAACTAGCCGACCCTGAGGGCGGGCTTTCTTCCTTTCCCTGTGCGAYAGCGCCAAGCTTCCTGTGAGGAGCACGGCCCACTTTCAGCACTCACAGCAGTCCCCGGCTCTCCCTGCTCCAGAGCAGCCCCCGCCCCACAGCAGCCTACCTTCAGTCAGGGGAAAGATCTCGCTCATCTTCTCGCGGGCCACCCTCACTTTGGTAAGTTCCCCCTCCAGGCGCAGCAGCCTGATGAGGTCCACGTGGCAGTTGTAGTCATACACGTTGATGGACAGCTAGAAGGAAAAGGGACCCGCTGAAACTCAAAGTGCTCCCCTCAGGACAAAAGCTTGTCTCCACGTGGGTGCCCTCAGAAGACAGGACAAAACAGGAGGCACTTCTGTAACCGACACAGCCCTCCCATTCTGAGAAGACCGGGGGCTGGGCTCAGTGAGCGCGCTTGCCTGGCATGTGGGAGGCTCTGGGTCCATCCTCAGCCCCACATAAAAATAAATTAATAGAAAATAGGTCAGTGTCCATCTTCAACTAAAAATTTTTTTAAAAAAGGAAGACACTTGGGCTGGGGATGTGGCTCAAGTGGTAGCGCGCTCGCCTGGCATGCGTGCGGCCCGGGTTCGATCCTCAGCACCACATACCAACAAAGATGTTGTGTCTGCCGAGAACTAAAAAATAAATATTAAAAATTCTCTCTCTCTCTCTCTCTCTCTCTCTCCCCTCTCTCTCACAAAAAAAAAAAAAGGAAGACACTTGGGTTCTTGCTGAGATAAAGGAGACATTCTAATGAAACAAACAAAAGTGTGTATCCTTAGCAAGTAATTAACTTCCCTAAGCCTCCATTTCCTCATCTATAAAATGGGCATACTGTTAGTTTTTAGCTCAGAAGCCTGTTCTGGAGATTTAAAAAGGCAATTTAGCACATGTAAACTGCATTATAAGGGCTCTTTTATTTTAATAAACAACAACAACAACAAAAAAAGATGGAAATTCCTGTTAAAGAAATAAAAATGACAAGAGGCTGGTGTGGAGATCCACCTTGGTCATTTTGCCCCACCAACCCTAGCAAAGATGTTAAGGCAGAGGGCAAGCGTACTGTGCCAGCCATTCACGCCTGGYCTGTTTCTCAACTCATATCAGACACGTTAATAGTTTGTGAGAGGCCAGGTACACTCGGGTTGGCCACCAACCACCTTTATCTGGCTTAGCATATAAACACCTTCCTCCTGCCTTGGGGTACAGGGATCCAACTACCAAGAAACCCTTCTGTCCATAAGTCCTCGATAAACTGCAACCCTGGATCTGTGTGGCTCTTTCTTCAGCATCCTGGCCCTCCCACCTTGAGCAGTCAGTTCCCACACACCAGGACTGGGTTTGTCCAAAAAGCTGCTGTCTGTTGAAGCCGAGTGATAGATACGTGAAGATCTATTTTCACATCTGAAACTTTTCAAAAGTTTAAACAAAACTTTTTAAAGCTAGCATACATCCGAGACAAAGGAAAGACGTAAACAAATTTTTAGCAGACCTAACCTTAAAGAGCAGCCAATSAGGGTCTTAAAATAGGAAGGAAATGGGAAAAGAAGGAACCTGGAGCTCAGAAGGGGAGGAGGAACAGAAACAGGAGAGAGCACAAAGGAGTCTGGGTCCTCCCTGAAGTCTTGTGAATGGTATGTGAGGAGGAGACAAACTAGTTAGTAAGTAACAGACACAGGAGAGGTGAYTCCCACACCTCACCGAAGTCCACACTACACCAGGCAGTCGGAACCGTGCATGTTCCAACCAAGCAACCACTGAGAAAACCACCAAACACATCAAAATCACTGTAACTGAATCAATACGGTATTCTACGAACATTCCTATAACCCACAGGAAGAAAAGAAACAAGAATGAGACCCAGAAGAAGCAAACAGAAAATTTTTAAAGTAGGTTTTAGAGCTAGCATATCAATAAACCAATCATCCATACACATTAATTAAAGGGCAGAAAATGATCAGATGCCATGGTACATGCCTGAATTCCCAAGGACTCAAGAGGCTGAGGCAGGAAGATCTCCATGTCTGGGGCCAGCCTCAGCAACTTAGTGAGACCCTTTCTCAAAAAGTTCTGGGGATGGAGCTCAGCAGTAGAGTACCCGTGGGTTTAATCCCCAGTACCATTAGGGGAAAAAAGACTTCGGACCTCCCGCCCAAAAAAAATAGAGACAAAAAGGGACAGTACATAATGATAAAAGGAACAACATAGTTTTCTATCAAGCTACCAGAAAGACACCAATCCTAAATGTGTATGTAACAAACACCAACAACTTAAAATACACGAAGTCAAACTGGTGCAGCCCAAAGAGGAGAAACAGCCACAATTTCATCTGAGGACTTTTCAACACCCTTCCAGCAACTACCAGACAGAAAATCAGCAGGAAGACCCAAGAACTCCACACCATCAAGCAACATATAAATACACCTAAAATGAGGAACGTGTAGAAACTTTAAAAACATCATTTACATTCACTCCCATGGATTTAAATGGAAAACATAAAATTATAAAATCTGCAAAAAGAATACCGAAGAAAACCTTCTAACCTACAGCCAAGCAGAGTTCCTAGACTTGACATCAAACACAGAATGCATGAAAGGATGAACTGATATACTGGCCCTCTTCAAAATCAAAACTTCTCCTCTGTAAAAGGCATCCTTAAGAGGAGGAGAAGACGAGCTACAGAAGGGAAATAGCTGCAAATGAACTAAGAATATCTATAGCTATAACTCTGAACTCAACAATTTAGAAACAAACTTTTAGTATTGCAATTAGAAAACAGGCAAGACAGCATTTCACCAAAGAGGCCGTGCAGAGAGCAAATAAGCACACCGAGCGCCAGGGCACGACAGCACAGCCACTAGGCAAGGCAGCCGCGAGAGTGGCTAATACACAGGGACAACACCAAATGCCAGCGAAGACGACAAAAAACCTGCTCATAACCTCACACACTGCTTGTAAAATAAAACAGGCAAAGGGTTTAGCAGCTCCTGTGAAACTCAAAGGACAACTCCAAGCACACACTTGGCTATTTCCCCAGGGAAATAAAAAGCACGCTCACACCAACACCTGCACACAAATAAAATAAAATAAAAGGTACTGTGCCATGACAACTAAAAAAAAACTAAAAAACTAAAAATATATATATTTTTTWAAAAAATCCAAACCAGAAACAACTGGGTGTCTTTCAAAGGTGGCTGTTGAGCTGGCTGTGGTCCATCTGCGTCCTGGAACATCCTCAGTCATAGAGGGAACAAGCTAGTGACACACACAGGACTCTGAGGAATCAGGAGGGAATCCTGCTGGGTGAAAAAAGCTAATCCCAAAGGTCACCACTGCTCTGATTCTGTCTGCATAACACTCTTGAGATGACACGGTGAGTCTGCATGAGAGGCAAGCACTGTGACTTCCATGCTACCAGGTTTGACAGAAAAAATATGATGATCTCAATGCAAAAAAGGCATTTGATAAAAATGCCCATTCATGATTAAAATGTTTAAATGACAAACCAGAAACAGAAAAGCACCTCCTTAATCTGTCAAAATATTTACAAAAATCTACAATAAACATAACTAATGAAGAAACATTAGAAGAAATTCTTTTAAAAACAACAAAGATACCAGTATCCACCTTTTATTCAACCCTAGCTAGAGGTCTGAGGCTCAAACAAACGATGAAGAAAAATTAATCACAAAAGAGAAAAGGATAAGAATTATACATGATATGACTGAAGAATAAACTAAAGTTAATCTACGAATAAACCATTCGAAATTATAATAATGATTAGCACCGCGACATTGAGAGCAATGTATAAAAATCAATTACACATAAAGACAAATATGTCTGATCCCATGTGAGTGTCTAATGAAGCCAAACTCGTAGAAACAGGACAGAGTGGTGTTCCCAGGAGCGGAGGGAGGGAAAGAGGGCGTAGCTGCTTAATGAGTATTGGGCTAGAGATCTGTAAGATGAAACAGCTCTGGAAATCTGATTTACAACATGAATGTATTTAACACAATCAAATTGTACCTTTTAAAATGTTTGTTCTCTACTACAATAAAATAATCAATCACACTCGTATAAAACAGCAAGTTTTAAAATATAATTTGAAAGTCTAGCATATTACAAATCACCTAGCTCTACATCTAATGAGAGATGTCTGAGATCCATACTGAGAAATGTTTTTAGATCTTATTGAAAAATACCATTATAAAGACCTAGATAAATGAAGTTATACACCATTCCTAGATTCAAGAATCAATATAGCAACTTATGGTAAATAATCCATAAATTCAACACAATGCAAATAAATAGCCCAACAGACCTTGGCACATATATCTAAAATCATGTGGGAAAAACAAAACACATCTCAAGAAAAAAATCAGGTAGGAGGATACCTTATATGAGGTAGTGAGTCTCAGCTACAAGAAGTTAGACTGGAACTGCACAAGATAAACGACCCACTGAAGAGCAGCAAGAGCCCAGAAACAGAMTTATACAGACAAATAACACATAACAGAGGTGACCATTTGTATCTGCTGAGGTGCATCCAGGACCCACAACACTGACCCCAGTGTGAAAAAGAGTTAGAGAAACACTTACAWGTGAGGGGACGCTGATAACATAATTAACAGATAATATTCAAGAAGGTATCAATAAAGAAGAATCAGTAATAGATAAGAACATGGTCAATAATTTAAAAAATCTGAGACTTGAGGCAATGGTGTTCTGCTCAGGATTCACAAGTCCTGACAAGCTCAACCCATCCCATGACCACGTGATGGCTTGAAAAGGCTCTGGCCCAGGCCACAGGTCCTCAGCTTCCTCCCCTGTGCCATGAAGGAGCAGAGTCAAGCTCTAGTTCTTACGGGTCTTACCAAGTGTCAGGAGTGTCACACAAAACCAGCGGTGTGAGGCTGGTGAAGATATGCTTTCCCCACTATCAGCACTGTCACGGCACCTGGGCCTAAATGGGCTTTTGACGGGGAACAGGAGAGGACAATCCTTACTAGTCAGTGTCAGGAATGTCTGCAAACGTGCCCCTCACATCAGTACCATGAGCAGGCTGGCAGAAGAAAGGTCACTAGAGAAACTGCCTTTACAGTGGCTTTTGTCTGAACAACTTAGTTTTAGGCCAAACTGAGGACACTGCCTATAGGGGAAGGGAGAAGTATTTTGGAAGCATGTGTGTTAAGTATCTACTAAAATGCACTTACAAGAAACACCTTCTCTTAGTTCAATCAATACTAACAAAAGAGTGTACATGCTGGTCTATTCCAGGCTCAGAACATCATTAACGACATAAGATGCTTTAAAAAAAGAAGAGCTTAGCCAATCAATGCACAAAATAATCTGCTGATTTCCAGCTCCCACCAGTGGGAAAAGATGCCACGCCCACCTGCACCTAGAAGGGGGGAGGGGGAGGAGAGGCCTGGTGGAAAGGACAGGACTAGTGCAACACCTACTAGGTGCCCAACTGTGTCAGAGCCTTAGAGGCACTGTGTCACTCAAGCTCCCAAACCACCCTGTAAGGAAGATAAAATATTCATTCACTTTACCAACTAGGACACTCACAGCAGGTTCAGACAGCGGAAACAGCGTGTCCAACTGGCCTTCCCACTCCTGCAGGGAAGGCCTGGATTCACAGATGGTTGCGAAGCCTTATCTTTGTCCTTCACCAGGCTGCTCAGATAAATCCACCTAAGGCACCATGAGATGCCATTTTTAGTTTGCACACGAATAATGGGAAACCTGTGCCTTTGTCAGTGGACAGATATATTTCAAGAGACAGCTCTCACAAAGCACAGTCAGGGGCGAGAAGCAGGACTCCCCAACACGACAGGGCTGGCCGAGTTTTTCAGAGCTCTATTTGGAAGTTATTGATTAGGCTTCACCCTCAGGGCAGTGACAGCTGGACTGGAGGCTCCAGGAGGGCACAGGATTAGGATAAAGTGGGAGGGGGTTGAGAAACATTGGAAAAGCCCATTTCTAAACCCCAGCACAAGAGGATTAGGTCCAAGACTAATTCACCATCACTTGCTACATCCCATCTTGTGTGGTCACTTCTGAGCCCCTTGCCAGCCTCAGAGAGCTGAGGGGGGCAGGAACTACAGGGCACCAGTAGCCAAGAGACCTCTGCTCTGATCCATCCTTCTTCCTGTGACCAAGTAGCATCACCAAGGACTTCTCTGGTTCCAACTTCCCCTTCCTTCTGAAACAAGTGATCCTATTTCTCCTCCTCACAGAAAGGCAATTATTTCAGTAAGGACAGGGACACAGTCAGTCTGTCACCCCATGTCACTATATTTGATGAATGAATAAAACCAAATGTGCTTCACCATGCTTATTTACCAAAAAAAAAGTAGAGGCCATGGCCACATGCCTGCCCCAGCTGGTTCCTTTAACAATCAGATGAGATGACAAGTGGGACCAACTATAACAATGGATGTCACTGTTGCATAACTTAACAAAACTATCACTGCCTCTCACCCAGCAAGGTGAAGTGAGTAGCCTAGGTTAGTCACAACTACACACCACTGAATGAAGGCACACCCAGTGTGGCATTTGGTCCTCAGGTCCTTTGAAGATTTCAAATCCCGTTATGAGTGACTTTAATCATCTCATCATTCCTTACGTTATTTCTTCATCTGCAAAATGAGAATGTGCTCCAATCTCTTTGGGTTCAATACCTCCAAACCTGCTCTTTCCTCTCATCCCTGTTCTGTGACCCCAGAAGTTCAATACATTTTGGGCTTCTTGGCTCTCTGGCTCCGGGTTGGGTTTGCCTTACAGGAGACACCAGCAAAGGTTTGGAAGGAGGAAAACAGAGAATTTATGGCATTTCTACCCCGACCAAGGCATCAACAGCTCTCAAGGTGCCCTCTCCACTCAAGTACTTGGGTAACCAATCATTCCCTTCACCTCTTCAGGCCTGAAAGAGGGGAGAGGTCCTCCTGCTACCAGGCTTGGTGTATCGAGCCTTCACTCCGGGTTCCCCTGCCCACTCCTTCATAAGCACAGTCGTCCCTTTATTGCTCTCAAATCAAGCTAATTTCTCCCAGGATCCAGGATTACACAGGAGAATTCACCACCTTGCAAGGTCACAGGTCAGAAACCATCCTGCTACTCGGTACCAAGTGACCACTACACAATGCAGAAACGGTGGCTCCCGACCTGCAGAGCTTAAGGAACTGGCCCCAGGACGCGCAGGCGTGGAGGGGCCTTGAGCTTCCAGACTCGGAAACCGCTTTCCCTGCCTACTATGACCTCGGTCGCTATTTCTCCTCCGACACCGTACTGCGTCCCCGTCGTAGATCCTACAGGGAATCCACCTCTTAGGAACTAGCTTTATTTCGACTGTCGAGCCCGGGGCAACCGCGTGGCAGAGACTCGAGTTCGGGTCGTCTTAAGAGCCCAAGCAAAGTGTGCAGGAGGCGCTGCCCCCAGCCAGACTCCCGAGCCCCCGTCCGATCCCGTAAACCCGGGCTGACCCCACTCCTCATCGGGTGCTGCSGAGGACTCGGTGGGATCGCGCTGGCCAAGCACCGGACACGCTCTAAGCCCGAGCCACACGCGCCTCGGTGGCCGGCAGCGGTTTCGYGGCCTTGGCGGGTTTTACTGCCGCCCCAGGACCAAGGAGGCGGGACGCGGCCTCGGGCCCGGGCCTGGGCCTGGGGCGGGAGGGGAGCAGCCCACCTGCTCCTCCAGCCGCTCGATCTCCAGCTGGTTCTTCTCCTCCTCCTCGTCGTACTCCCACTCGTAGTCCCCGGCGGAGCTGTCCGCCGAGGAAGCCATGGCGTACTCCTCATCCCCATCGCTCTCGCTCACACCTTCCTCCTGCTGCTCCCACCCTGGCCCCATGGTCTTGTACGTCGCAGCGGCTACAGCCCGCGAAAGCACTTTCCGCCTCGTCCTAGCTGCCTTAACTTCATCTTCCTCTCCCTCAGCCTTGGGCCCAGCCGGGGGCTCASCCTCCGGCTCCGAAGCCGAAGCTGCGGCCGCTGTCGCCATCTTGCGTTTCCAGTGACTCTCGGGTCTTCCCTCGGCCGCCGAAGACCCGCGGAAATAGAAGCTGCCTAAGGCGTCCGCCTGACTAAAACCCCGCTTTCTTGCCACCGAATGAGAAACTGAGAGCCTTGGATGACAGGAAAATTACTAAATACATGAAATTCATATTACTTTTATGTATCGCTAAAGGTCCCTGTCAGAAAATAATCGACTAACGCAGCCATGTGTGCCGTCACAACCCCGGACAGAAGTTGGGTCTTTGGACAGGAAGTGGAGGTCATAGAGGAAGTTACAGGGGGAGAGTGATGTATGTCGTTAAGGGTTTTACACCATCTTGAGAAGGTCAAAATGATTCTTGGAACAAATGCTTTATTTAATGCCTAGTGAGCCCTGGAGTGTGATTCAGTCCCAGCCTCAAATGCAGAGAAAAAGTCCAAGTCCTTAGGGAAGGATCGGCTGCCCTTTTCATGAGAAAAATCCATTTTCCAAAGAGATTCCTCTCCTTTATGTAACGCCTGGTACCTAGTAGGCGTTAAATATGTATGTGAATTTTCTGGTTTTATAAGACCATATTCTGCAAGACAATACTAATAAATTACATTAATAAGCATTGCTTTAGAAAATGTTAATTGCCGTGCACTGTCGTATAAATCGTGACTGGTTGCTGTTATTTTATAGGGATATTAAACACATAGACCTTTTCTTTTAATCAACGCACGGTGTTCGTTTTCTACTTAATTAAACTTCCCATTTTTTTAAGTAGGAAAGTACTGGTGTTTATTTATTGCCTTTATTCCTCATTATCAAACTTAATGGAGAAAGAAGAGCCTTGACACACAGTAGGTACTCGTATTTGCGATGATGGAAGAAAACACAGTCCTTGAATTGATACAAAAGAGAAGATCGAGGCTTAGCGAACCGACGTCATTCACCTGGGGTCACATAACTAGGAAGGAGCTGAACCCGGATTCTAACCTAGGATTATACAAGTTCAAATCCCAAGCGAACCTAACACTTTGAACGACCTTGGACAAGTTACTAAACAGCTCTGAACTTCAGCTTCTTTCACTGCAAAGTAGGGTTAGGAAGGCGGACTGGGTGATCCTCTGCGCCGCGTTCCGGCGGTGGGTTTTTTGAACGTGGACGTGGGTCCGGTGCTACAGCAGCCTGAGAATTCCCATGCAGAATCCAGTGTCCARGACCAGCCTCCAGCGACTGCACACCTTCGCGTTGCAACCTGTCTGCGTCCGCCCAGAGGCGTGGTCAAGGCGGGGCCAAAACGCAGAGCGGGAGGGCGCAGGCTCAAAGTCGGTGACGTCAGAGCGACTCGCGGGCGAGCCCTCCGGTCGGAGTAGTTTGGGGCCGGCGCAGGCGCAAGCCGGCAAGATGGCGTCGGCTGGAGCAGGCCGTCTGAGGCGAGCGGCTTCGGCCCTGCTGCTCCGGAGCCCGCGCCTGCCGGCCCGGGAGCTGTCAGCTCCGGCTCGGCTCTATCACAAGAAGGTATGGGTGGGCGGGGGCTGCGCGGACCACTGAACGGACCCGGGCGCCCGACGGGTCACTGGGCCGGGAAGGGCGGCCCGCTCCGGTGCCGCTGCCTGGACGCCCTGCCCCGGCCGCGCAGTGACACTGTCCGCGGCTCCCGTGCGAATAACAGCTGCCGCTGCCCCGGCTCCGTGACCCGGGCGAGCAACGGCCTCTGGCTGCACCCGCTTCCCAGAGGGGAGGGAGAGGTCCTGGGCGCCGAGGGGGCGCCGCCGGCCCGACGCGGGGACCGTCCGCGGTGATGCTGCGTAGGGGGCCCCCGGCCTCCGAGGGCGTCGGCCGGCGGCCCAGGAGCACTGCGCTTCCTGTTGTTTGGGGTTAATTTTGGCTTTTCAGTGCGGGGAGGAGGGCTGGGTGCCCCGTTTGCAGCCCCCTGCTTTCCGGGGCGTCAAGTCCCCGTAACCAGAGACCCCCTTGGAGAAGTGCTGCGGAGTCCACGAGGCGCTAGATACCCCGGGAAGAACGCCTCGAGGGTCCTCGGGACCTGCAGTCCAGATCCTTGATCCAGGGGACAGTGGGGGCGACTAGAAGATGGGGTACTTATTGCCATCTGGCAAGCAACCCCTCAAGGTCACCTGAGGATCGGCTGTGCCCGTTTGGAAGGCTCATTTGTGCTGGACCTTTGCTTCGGCACTTTTGCAAGGACCTCGCTCCTCCCCACCCGGGGGGCGTGTCGCATTCACATCGCAGGTCGCCAGCTCTGGGCACCAGGGTGCGCTGCGACCTGCGGGTTCTCCGCCCTGACCTGCCCCGATGGCGCAGTTTTAAATSTACACCAACGGGTTCATTCCTTGATGTTCCAAGCAAATCTTTCATTCCCACAGTTATTTCCTGAATTTTTAAATAAGCATTATCCTTTAAGGATGGGTTTTATTTGAACACTGTTTGGGCCCCAATCTGGTGATACAGATGTGCAAAAGTCAAGTGATTATTTGTGGTTGAAAACCCTATGGAACTAAGACATGACTTGATTGATTGATTGATTGATTTTGGCAGTATCTCCTACAGTATCTCTAATCTCTAAAGTTGGAGAGGACATACAAAAAGAGTTTGGGTCACAAATGGCATTGACATGAGTGTTGGCCTTCTTCTTCTTTCAGGTACAGGTTGCTGACATCAAGGTAGACCAGTAGAAGAGCGCCATCATGACTCCTCTCAACCCTGTCATTTCAGGTTGTGGATCATTATGAAAATCCTAGAAATGTGGGRTCCCTTGACAAGACATCAAAAAACGTTGGAACTGGATTGGTGGGTGCGCCAGCGTGTGGTGATGTTATGAAATTACAGGTACCAGCTGATTGGTCTCTGATGGCAATACTAGGAATCCCTTGGCTTACACAGTGTTTCATAGCTGATAAAGCATTTGTACATACAGTATTTCGTTTCATCTCCTTCCTTCCATTGAGATGGGAGGAGTTGGTGTTACGAATGATTAGAACAGGGACTTAATCTAGTTCTGCTACTCAKGTATGCAGACCTTTTCTGAAGTAGGAAACTAATCTCACTTTTCTAATCACTGTGTTAATTTAAATTCCACCTTCAGCTGGGTGAAGTATTGTGTGGATTTTGCAGTCCCCAGTGAGATAATAAGTGCAGTAAACCAAACATCTCCCCATACCGAAAGTAACATGAAGGTAGTGGATTGCAGTTTGGGTACACCATAGCTTTATCCAGTCTCCTTCTTTATAGTGGGTAGACTTGCCAGAGGTCTTCACACCTGTCTTGGAAAACAGAAAAATACTTAGGAGAAAATCTTTAAGTATAATTTCATGCCCAAGAAAAAAATATTAACCAGAGACCTTGGTTGCAGACTCTCCCACGTTTAAGGAAACAGAGTRCCCAGCACCTGTGAGCAGGTGTCCTCACATAGGACTTCATAGCTTTAAAAAAAGAAACAAGAAGGAAAAACGGGCTGGGGTTGCAGGATTGCAAAGAAAACTAGGAGAGAGGGGCTTAGTTTCCCAGGTGACAGGTACTGCAGGGCCTGACAGTAGAATGCACTGTGACACATTGTACACAAAAGGAGCACAGCTTCTCCTTCCTCTGGCTATGCCTGGTGCAGAGTCACACCATAGTGTGGTCATGCCTGTCTGTAGAGGAGTAATGTCTGCCTCTTTCCACCATCCTTATCTCTGAGCTCTTTGTAACAAGCAAAGTCACTGATTCCAGCCTATACAGCAAGCCCAGCTTGTAAGGAAGGTCCCCGTGAACCTTATGAGTACCAGCTCCTGGGTTTCTAGAAGGTGGCCGCCAGGTTCACTACGTAATTCTTGTCTCTTTTCTAGATTCAAGTGGATGAAAAGGGGAAGATCGTGGACGCCAGGTTTAAAACATTTGGCTGCGGTTCTGCAATCGCCTCCAGCTCGTTAGCCACTGAGTGGGTGAAAGGAAAGACGGTAAAGCTGTTTGCTGACCTATTAGATCAAATCATGTTCTCTGCACCCTTGGCTCTCAGAGGTCCAGTGGGTCAAAAAAAGAAGTAAATTTTTTGATTTCTTCAAAATAYCCAAAAATTTTTATTTTAGTTTCTCCCTGTCCAGATGTTGCTTATATTCCTCACATTAATGGACTATTTTGTGAAGTAGTGTTTGGGAGTATTTTGTAGTTGATGATCATTTTTATTTGGGGGTTTGATGGTGTTTTGTTAATTTTGTAGGAAAAAAAAAAAGTTCCTCACTGTCCATCTGACAAAATAGAATTGCAAAGAAATCTTTGACTCTATCAAAGGTCGCTGATGTTCTCATAGTTTCTTAGGAGTCTAAGGTCAAGGGGGTGTTGTGAAGTAGTTATTTTCTTGTTTATTTCCTCCCATCCTGTTTTAGGAAGGACTCTGAGAGTCCTTACAAAGATTGGTGAGCTAAACTAGTATGTGTTAAAAGGGGTTTTAAAGAATCAAGAACACAGCAAGGGTTCAGGCCCAGTGACGAATCGGTGGCTGGTCTGCAGGCCCTCTAAAGACAAGAAAGGGCCAGACATCTTTTGCATACTTTTCTCTGTGAAGGGCTGGACTTTCTAAGTCCAGTTGCCATTAAAGCTGCTGTGTCGAAACCAACCAGCAGTGTGCACCAGGGGCCTGGTTCCGGGAGCTGAGTCATGGAGGAGACATTGGACACGCTGGCCAGCTCCCCAGCAGAGCAGGGCCTGGGCCGCCTGCTCCTGTGCTTCAGGGCCTTCTGGCTGGCAGGCTCCTGTAGGCCAGGAGGGCACAGGCCAGGTCCATTCTAGTGGGAGATGACTCTRAAGAGGTTGGTCAGGAACTGTCTTCAGGGAAAGGGGAAATGAGACAAGGCAAATGTGATCCGAGTCCCTGGCCTCGAGGGGCTTCCTTTAACTTTGAGATCTTCCCATCTGCGTTTCTAGGACTAGCCAGAGACACTGGCTGCTGGGGACGTCTGGTTTCTCTTTCTGCAGTGGACCTGTCTGTTCTTTTTTTKGGGGGGAGTGTGGGTACTGGCGGTAGAGGAGTACCAGCGATTGAACTCAGGGGCACTCAACCACTGAGCCCCATCCCCAGCCCTATTT